ATGTATATTGAATTACCATGCATCAATATGGAAATTCATAATCCTCTATTATAGCATGCATCTTTACATGCCAACCAAATAACTCAGTCACAACATTTTTACTTTAAGCAGACACAGTTCTATGTGGTTGTCTTGTTGATAGTAGGAGGATATTTGCTATAATTCATTGCTAATTAAGTTTACTACAACCAATTTGATATAAACTTTGCAATCCTTATATCCTTATGATCTAAAAACAACCAACACAAACAAAATTGTATTAGAAAAGTTGACAGATTATTAAACCTGTTAANTGGTCTTTAATTGGTCATTCTCAAATCTAAGTTTTGTTTATTAACATTGGCCGAGGGTACTTATGAAAGGTTCTATGACACTAAAGTAGTTTAGTTCAGATTATAAGAAACCTACTTTTTTTATTTCAAACTACTATTTATAGATTTTGTGATGAACTAACATAATGGGTATCTTGGGATTAAAGACATCACCCATCAAACCATCTAAGCAGCAGTAAACTAAATGAAACATGTATATTGAATTACCATGCATCAATATGGAAATTCATAATCCTCTATTATAGCATGCATCTTTACATGCCAACCAAATAACTCAGTCACAACATTTTTACTTTAAGCAGACACAGTTCTATGTGGTTGTCTTGTTGATAGTAGGAGGATATTTGCTATAATTCATTGCTAATTAAGTTTACTACAACCAATTTGATATAAACTTTGCAATCCTTATATCCTTATGATCTAAAAACAACCAACACAAACAAAATTGTATTAGAAAAGTTGACAGATTATTAAACCTGTTAAACTTTATTATGCATATAAATGACTTTATTACAAATGATAAATTTATTTGAATGATTTGGAAACATTTTTCTCCACAAACGAATAGAGCCTGAAACACTAAAATGTTCACATTCACATGCTTATAAAAATATATGTTCTTTTGTGTTCCTTTGAGTAGTGTAACATTTTTCTCCAAATAATTTTAAGTAAATTCATGCTTTGTGTTGGCTGTACCTGTATGCAGTAATTTCTTCGTGTCACTTGATAATTTATTCACTCTGTTCCAGGGTCCAGGACCTGATTCTCGCATTGTATATATTGGTGATGCTTTTGATCTTTTTCACGTTGGACATGTGGAGGTATAATTTAAAAACTCTGTTACTTATACCTAAAAGTAGACTTTTATTGAAAATATCTCAGCTTAGTAATATATTGATTGTAAGCTGTTTGTAATTGCTAGGGATCTTGAGGCTTGATAGGGTTTACAGCTTTAGGTTTCTTTAATTGCTTGTTTTTAACTTCTCAAGTAAGTTTTCAAGACAAAAGGTAAGAGTATTGACAATTGAACTTATATATAATGCATACCTATGTCATTCATAGAGTTTATTTTCATTCAAGCATATAATATGAATATACTTTAACATTTTGTAAAGTTTGGAATGTAATGTGGTAAAATAAATCATAATTATCACAATACATTTTTGGTTTTGTATAATTGATATACTATTTTGATGGTTGAACCTTGTCTTAGCACAAGTTCCCATAGTCAAACCCCTTTCTTGTAGTTTAAGGTTTCACATAAGTTATTTATAAAGTGATGGCCTTTCATTAACATGTTTTTACTCTATTTCTTTGGAATTTGGTTGCTATGCGGATCAACCTTGCCTTGAACCAAACTTGCTTCATTTGTGTCATCCATTAGTTGGTTTATATTAGAAGGTTCTCCTTGGTCTGTACTGTATTTTAGACCTGTTTATGAGGAAACCAATGCTTGTTTGACTTACATTGTAAGATAGAGACATGTAGAAAAACATTGTAAGATAGAGAGAAGATGACCTAAATTAATTTAGGTTATTCTTTAGGAAGCCATTTGATAGGGCACGTGTCCTAATATAGAGACGTGTATTAACCGTTGGCTAATTGTTTTGTAATCGATTTATGTACAAAACATGGATCAGGCTCCACCAAGTCGTTCATGGATGTACGATAGGTGTCATAGATGAAGAGGTGCTTTGAAAGAGTCTTTTGTATTGGGTGTTGAAGAGTTTATAAGTAAAGCTTGTGAAGAAGAACGTTATCGTAGAGAAGGGGGTCTTCGATGTCCATGTTTAAAGTGCGATTGTACAAAGATTCTGCACGAAAGAATTGTGAAGGTTCACCTCTACAAGAACGGTTTCAAGCCTAATTATTTCATTTAGGAGGATCATGGGGAAAGAATGCCAGAAGATGATGTACAAAATCGTGAAAGTTGGATGACTGTAGAGACGGAAGGTGGTCAAATTAACCAATTTATGACAATGGAAGATATGGTGCATGATGCTCTTAGGCAAAATGAGTCGTGCCAAGCATCTACTTCAAATAACATTGAAGAGGCTCCAAATGAAGAAACACAAAGGTTTTATAATTTTTTGTTGGATGCACCAGACATTGTATGAAGGAGCATCAGAATTGAAATTATCAATGTGTGCCAGGCTATTAGCTTGCAAGTCGAATTGAAATATTCCTAACCAATGCATAGATTTTATTGAAAAAATGGTTATGGATGCAACACCCATCAAATCAGGTTTGCCTAAAACATTCTACGATGCAAAAAAGTGTGTATCAAAGTTGGGATTACATTCACAGAGAATTGATTGTTGCGTGGATGGTTGCATGCTCTTCTATGATAATGAATATGGTAAGAATGATGACACGTTGCTTAAATGAAAATTTTTTGGAAAGCCAAGATATCAACCACGTAACACGAGAGTAATTACTACAAAACAGGTTCCTATGAAATCAATGCTCTATTTGCCATTAATTCCCAGACTATAAAGAATGTATGCCTCAACACAAATTGCAGGACAAGTCCACATTGCATGGAGCATACAAAGGCTTTTAGATTATATCATGGGGCAAAATATTCCTAGTTTGACTCCCATCGGAGGTTTTTACCAAATGACCATGCCTTTAGGAGGAATAGGAATGCTTTCAAGAAGGGGGAAGTGGAGATGGATGACGCACCACCATATCTTACGGGAGCACAAGTTTGGAATAGAATCAATGGTTTTTCTAAAATAACTGAAAATGGTGCACCAAGAATTGACTGATACGGTGAATGGCATAATTGGACGAAAAAAAGCATCTTTTAGGATCTACCCTATTGGAAGGATAATTTGTTAAGGCATAATCTTGAATTCTATGGAACATCTCCCTATCCATCTTCCATATGAGGCAAGACTTGGTGGACCAGTCCACTATAGGTGAATGTACCCATTTGAAAGGTGACAATATGACATCTTATTGTTCAATTTACTAGGCATAATTCAAAAATCCTAACATACCAGTTTCAAAATTGTAGGTTCATGGGATATGCTAAATGTTCAGTTAAGAATAAAGCTAAGGTTGAAGGATCTATTTGCGCATCATACTTGCATAGAGAGACAACTCATTTTTGTTCCCACTATTTCAAAAACTTCATGTTAACACCACGAAGTAGTAGAAATGAACTAGAGACTGAAATAGAAAGCCTTACGACAACATTATCAATGTTTGACCGTCTTGGCCATCATTCTGGGACGGAATCAACTCATTGGTTAAGTGATGAAGAATTCAGATAAGCTCATGTTCATGAATTGATCAATTGCAATGAAGTTCAACCTTACCTTGAGTAAGCCTCCAAAATCATTTATATTTCCCAATTATTTCATTTGATATATTTAATTGTCTTTTATCTAATCTCATCATACATGTCGACAACTCATTCTTACATACCTATCAATTATCTGAGTCAAACAGTTCAGCATACATAGATGCTAATTTCCCATTGTGGTTCAGCCAAAAAGTACGACTTCCAATCATTCTTACACATTCATTTCTTCCTTAATTCTTTAATCATTACATTGTTGAATAGGTTCATATCCTTTATGGTTGTAGGTTCATAACTATCCTTTATGTGTGAGGAACCAACATCTTAGAGATTTATCACTTGTTCCTTTAAGGTGTGTAAAGGAATGGCACACCTTCTTTGCTAATGGATACAAATTTCGTACCCATGCATGGAGTCAGGGCCAAAGTACAATAAATGATGGGGTTCATGTTAAAGGGCTAACAGAAGGAGGTCAAGATGATTTCTATGGTGTCATTAAACACATCTATGAGTTTAGAATACAATTCAACAACCACTAAAAAGAAAATTATATTATTTTATTGCGATTGGTTTGATCCATTGAGAGTAGGTACAAGGGTGGATTCAAAGTATTGCATTGTGGATATTCGAATGGATAAAAGATGTGTTGTTTGATCCTTTTATAAAACCACATAATGTACAACAAGTGTATTATGTACCATATCCTACATCTCGCACGGACAAACGAGGTTGGTGTGTTGCGATAAAAACGAAGCCTAGAGGTCGCATTGATTCTAATGATGTAGAAGTCGATGTGCCATACCAAGTGGAGGAAATGTCACATGTTAATGATGTCATTGAAATTGAAGAAGTAGTCCGATACAAGATGTAGAAGCTGGTCTGAAGAAGTCGACCCCAACAATATTTCATCATTTCAAGTGCCAATGGATGAAGAAAACAACTGAATCAGAAGAATACAATGAAGAGGGACAGGGTGAAGATGACAATGAAGATGAATTTCATAGTTCTAGCACTGAATAGAGTTAGGGTGTGTTCCTCCTTATTTTTGTTGCATTTATAATGGTGTCCACAATCTTAAGATTAAAAAATGAAGTCTTAAGATTAAACATTTACTAAACATGAAGTAACCGAGATTGGGAATATCAACATTTACTAAACATTTACTAAAAATTCCGAGAGTTTTATTAGAAAGCCAGAAAGAATGTGACTTCATCTGTTGTTGATGTGTTTGGTTTACTCGTGTTTTTGGAGTATAATATTGTTTTTGGTTTACTTGTTACAAATTTTTATATCTGATTGTACTATTTCTAAATTTTCTTTTCTTCTATTGTATAAAAATATATATTATGTTCAAGAATATGGCATCAAGTGCTTCTAGCCCTCCTCTTCCACCTTCAGGAAAATCTGATAAGGGGAAGGGAAAGAAATCTTATGTAATGAAGTTGATGACATGTTTCAATAATGAAATTGGGTCAAGCAGTCAGCCAACTACACCTACCTCTACCTCCACTGGTAGATCTATTCCACCTTCATTAGTTGTTCCTGGCTTGACTCACACTCCACATCAAGTTCCTACATCTACACCTACCTCCATTGGTAGATCTATTCCACCTTCATTAGTTGTTCCTGGCTTGACTCCCACTCCACATCAAGTTCCTACATCTACACCTACCTCCATTGGTACATCTCTTCCACCTCCATTACAAGTGTCTGGCTTGACACCCACTCCATACCAAGTGCCTACTAATCGAATGGCTTCACTCTCTCCTAATGTTGGTTCCAACCCATCAACTCCCACAAATATTGCACCATCACCTGGTATAGAGGATGCAGATCAATATTCCAGTTCAACCGCCAATTACGTGGAAAAATGTTCCAACAGTCGTCCAATAATTACACCCGTTGGAGGAGGGTAACAAAACATTTAACTCAATTAATATATATATTCCAATTCATTGTTGTATTATTCTAATGTTTACGTTTAATTTTGGTTTAGGTTTTATCCTACAAAAACTGCATCGAACGCAATCACAACCACCATCAAGCAATAGTTTGATGAGCCATGGCTAACATGGGGACAAATCCCTAAGTCAGCCAGAGATGTCTTCTTCGACCGTTTTAAGGTACACACTTTACAATCCTAATCCTTTTACACTGAGCAACTATTCTCTGTATGTGTAAATTAAACCTATTATTCATGTGTATAAAAATCAATAAATATAACAGAGATTAATTAATAAATGTTTTAAGTTTCTACATCAATCAAATGAAAAGATAATAGAATATAAACATGCATGGAGACATATTAGAAATGATATCTTCAAAATATTGAAATCTTCTAAATGATAGAAAACTGCAGACAAAATAAAAAACACACTGATTTACCTTGTTTGCCTGCTGGAAGACGACCTTCTGCTGGAGATTCCAATGAATCCTACTAAAGAAAGTAGCATATTGTACAATAAATAGACAATTAAAACATAGAAAATTGAAACACATGCATGAGACTAAACAAAGTTGGTGAATTAGAAAATCTTCATGGAACAAAGTCAATAGTTGGTCTCCTGCATTTAATCTGTACTACAACAACACCAACTAGCTGAAATACAAAATAATCCAATGCATGCAAGTTAATTAATTTGTTACATGTGAGAACTTAAAGAATTCTTATGTTTTTTTGACTTAACTGATAATAATGTGTTACAAATTTGCTTAAAAAATGTGCTTTTTATGAGTGAAACTACATGTCAAAGCTAAAATTGTAACTTGGTCAAGGTCAGCATATGAAACTTTTGGATGTTTAGCCTTCACGTCCTCTATTATACAAAGAAACCAAAAGTAGTGAGAATTATAAAGTGATAGAAAAAGATAAAACTAACTTTAGATGACTCACCACAGACACAACTGTTGTTACATCCAATAGACACAAGCATCTTCTTCTGCTCAGCAACAAAATTCAGAAGAAATTGTTAACCTTAAATCACAGTTACAATAATATGGTCAGCAACTTCAAAAGTTTGAAGGCTTTATTGGCATCCTCCTGCCATTCCTTCCGCCTTCAGCAGCCGCAGCTGCACAAGACTTTTTAAACCTCCAAAATCCTCAAGTTCAAAATGAAGTACCCAATGATGTCCAACCAAAACAAACAACCTCCACACCAGCAACCACCACATCAACAACCTCCAGACCAGCAACCACCACACTAGCAACCACCAGATGAACAACCACAAGATGGAAATGATTATATGCATTATTAGGCATTGTTTAGAACTTATTTCCATTATTGTTGAACTTATTTACAACCACAATCATAATCGGTTTATGAACTTACCTAATGTTTATTCTTGCACTTATATCGATGTAAACAATATTTATGTATTCATGTACAATGTTTCCTTTGTGGATTAAGTGTATGTGAAATGTTGATTGGTTTTATATGTCAATGTGCAATGTATAATGTGCAGGTCTGCTTATATGAATTGTGAATGTTCACTATAATGTCCAGGTCTGTTTGTATGAATTGTGCATGGGGAACTGCTATATACAGGGTATTTATTTAACTCTTCTAAAACCATTATATACAGATATATCCGTATATAACTTATATACAAAAATCCGTATATAACTTATATACGGATATATCCGTATATAAGTTTCATATATAAGTTATATATAGATTTATCCGTATATAGCTCTAGCTACGATAGTATTATATATGAATTTTTTCCCATATGTAATCCGTATATAGCCAAGTATTATATACGGATTTTGGGCCTAATATACAGATTTTGGCTGTATGTAATTCATTACAAGAAATATTGCAATTACATACGGATTATTACATACGGATCTGTATGTAATGTAATAATTACATATGGAATTACATATGGATTATCTGTATGTAATAATTCCTATGTAAAATCTGTTCACAATGTACGCGCGTGATGGCGGGAAAGTTACCTAAGGAAAGTATCTGTATATACTTTCTAGAATTCGTATGTAACATGAAACAATTGTTATCTACTGATATTACATACAAATATAGAAAATCATTTTTAAAAGAAATTGAATTTAGGTTAAGCCTCTTTTACAAAACCCTCACTCGAGCTCTCGTCTCTCACAACCCTCATCTCTCGAAGCTTCACTTCACCTCTCCTATCTCGAGTCTAACTTGACCTCTGTGCCGTCCATTCTTCAGTCGACCTCTCATCTTCCGAACCTTCACTCCACCTCTTCTCTGTCGAGCCCTAACTCCACCTTTCTTCTGTCGAACCCTAACATGCAAATTAAAGTATGATCTTTGGATAGTTTTGTGGTACTCAACTTACTAATTCGAGTTGGTCTTATCTCTTTGCAGTTGCACAAGGTTGGTATCTACAATTTAGTATACAAGAAGCTTCTTTTGACAATCAACCAAAGCTTGTAGTAAGAGCTCAAGTTAATAAATAATTGTACTCTCCTAATTGGGGCTTTTTTTAGGTGTTTAACTTTGTATTAATGTTATTTAGCACAAAAATTCAATTTGAACAACCACCATCTACCATAATTTCTTATTTCTTTAACTATGTTTGGTTATAGTTAAAGTTATAACTCAAAATATAAGCTTTAAAACAATGTTATAGGTTGGAAATATTCAATCTAAATTGAAAGCTTCAAACAATATTGTACATAGTGATTTACATGTACAAAAACATAGTAAGATAGAGATATGTAGAAAAACATTGTGAGATAGAGAGAAAAGGACCTAAATTATTTTAGATTATTCTTTAGGAAGGATTTTTTTCTCAACGCTATTGCTCTCTTTGTCCAACATTCTCTTTCTTATTTCATTAGCACTGTTAGAGATTTTAGTTGTGATGAAATTGATGAGTGCCTATAAGATCAAAACTTGTTGATATTCATCCTGGTATGAGATAGTACATTATTTCTGCTGCACATGGTACCTTATCACTACTGATGAAGCCATGTAAAAATATACTTATGTTTGCTCTGGTCTTGTTTCAATGTTATAGGTAAATGATGTGATTGTATGTGTTGGATGCAAAGCTAAATGGGTTGAATAATGCTAATGTAGAGTTTTGTGGTTGGTATCTTACATTGTTGCTTGCTGCCAATAGAGGAACGATACACTATTTGGTTTAAATAGGATTTTAATTTGCTACTTATGTGGTTTCTAATTGCTTGAATGGTGTAAGTATGCGGTGAATAAATGATCTTGGCTAGTGTGTAACATTTTTTATGAGTATAATGATTAGAGGATGGTCTTAAACTTCGTTAATAAGTGCATACTTCATTAAACTTCGTTTTGGTTCTTTATGCTTGTGTGTTTGATCAGAAATTGCATGCTTTAGGTGTTTGTATGACAACTTTGTGGTGAGTTTTGGTGCAGGGCAATAACTGGCTTATTTTCTGCATGACAATAGTTGACAAACATGTCTTAGTGTTTGATTAGAGTTATAGAATGATGAGTGGATAAATGTAGAAATATTGGTTTAGTTGGGGTCTGTTGTGGTACCCATATCATAATTATACTTAGTTGTGCATCCATCTAGGTTTCATTCTTTTTATCCTTTCTCATCTACAACTATTTTATCAACTGTTTTAATTCATCTTTTCCGTCATATGTACTTCTATGTACTTAATTGCCTCTGAAACAGATGTTCTTAAGCATGTTATTCATGAATTTTGTTGATGTAGATGGTATCACCTGGTTTTGATCCTCCTCCTCTACCCTTAGCACAATCAAATAAGGCCAAGGGTAAAAAACAATATGTTGTGAAGTTTTTATCACGCTTCAACAATCCAGATGCATCATCCAGCCAACCAACTACCTCAACCTCAACCTCCACTGGTACCTCCATCCCACCTACATTAGTGTTGATGGGTCAGCACCCACAATACCTCCTCTTCAGACTGATCAATTGACATCAAATTCAACGCGTGTTGCTTCAAATCCTTCAACTTCAAATCCTTCAATTCCTACGATGCCTACTGCATCATCCCCTGCTAATGTTGTAAGATCTTATTATTGTATTTTAATTAATCATTTAAAAACTCTTTGCTTGTAGGTTCTATCCATCAAAAATTGCCTCCAAGGCCATCATAACCATCAAGCAATAATTTGATGAGCCATGGATAACATGGGGAGCAATCCCTAAGAGAGATAGAGCTCTTTACTTCGAACATTTTAAGGTATATTGTATTAGATTGAAATGAATGTTCTGTACAATGATATCTGAATGCAATGTCTTTTGCTTCTTTGGGATATCAAAGTACTTTATTTCTTTTCATTTCCATACATTTGATTTAAACAATTCCAACTGCAACATTGTAATCGTAGAAAAAGGTGTCATAGAGGCCTAAGGATGAGCAAAGAGTTCTAAAAAATTTTCACTCCAAAGCATCTCACAGACTCTCAAAGATATTTAAAGAGGCACAAAGAGAAGGTAAAAAGCCACATTGGATGAGAGATGTAGTATGGACCGGTTTGTTGGAGAAATGGAACATGCCAACATATCGAGAAAAGTGTCATACAACAAAAAAGACACCATGAATTAGAAAAGGGAGGGTGTTTGCATACTGGAGGTTCTATTAGCATGCATGACCACGCTATTCGCTTGGTTAGATTTCTTTATGTATAATATGAATTCCTTTTGAAACAAGTCATACCCTTCTTTACTTGACATATTTATTTGTTTGCATAATCAAATTGTCCTTGATGTTATAGCTATTATAAAATACTATTTAGATGAGTTAGAATTTTTTTATAATTTTTGTAATGAATATTTTTTTTAAAAAAAGTATTAATTGAAATATATAAAGAATACAATATATTTGGTATTAAAAAAATAATATTTTTATTTTCAATATTAAAACTTAAAATAATTAAAAATTTATTATCACACAATGAATAAGATGAACTCAAAATATGTCATAATATATAGGCTGGGTAAGTACATTAAAAGACACAATATGATTTATGAGCAATCAAAGTAAATCTCCTTCATTCATATAAGTTTGCAACCTATTCAAATGATATTGTGCCAGTATC